ATTTTCCTTTCTTTGGCCTCCCTTCTTGGTAACCTCCAAAGTTTGCTCCCTTGGTGTGTTGGTCTTTGTCTTGGTTTTTGTCCTTTTTGTAGTGGTTCCACAATATCTATCCTGTTGTGATTGACTAAGGTCATTCTGCACAATTATTTCTGGGTCTATCCATGCCTTGAGGCACTTGCTGGTTTTATCCTTGATTTTTAGTGATGTATAGTATTCCACTGGGTGTATGTACCAAACTTTCTTTATTCCCTCTTCTACTGGTGGGCATTTGGGCTGTTTCCAACTTCTCACCATTGTGACTAGTGCTGCAATGAATACGAAACTACACATGTCCATTCGTGTTATGCTTCTTAATTCTTTAGTGTGTATACCCAGTAGAAGTGTTATTAGATTATATAGAATTTTTCTTTGCAGTTCTTTGAGGTAGCACCATATTGCGTTCCATAATTGTTCTAAATATTTACAATCGAAGTAGAAGCATATAAGGGCTCTAATCTCTCTCTGGCCTCTCCAGCATTTGTTGTTTTTTGTTTTTCTAATCGGGCTGTCATTGTCAGCGTAAGTTGATATTTCATCATTGTTTGATTTGCATTCCTGGATGGCTAATGATCATGAGCATTTTTTCATATATTTGTTAGCCATTTGGATGTCCTTTTTAGTGAACTGTCTGTTCATGTCTTTTGCCCTCTTTTTACTTGTGTTGTTCATTTTTTTCTTACAGAGGTATTTTGGCCAGCTGCCCATGCTGAGAATCTTTCCCAGCCCATGAGTTCTAATTTCACTGTTTTAAGTCTTTGATGCACCTAAATGCCTAATTTTTAGGAGATCCAGTCACCTATTTTGTTTTCTGCTGTGTGTGCCTTCTTCTGTATCATTCCAGTGCCCTAACATAGGGCTCTTAAGTTTGTCCCTATTTTCTCATGGATGATCTTCATAAATCCAGTCTTTGTAACTCCCACCCAGTGATATGATGGGAGCATACAAATAAGGTGTCAGGGATTCTAACAAGGGACTGGCCAGTTTTCTCATTCCTCAAAGTACAAGTGAGCCATCTCATAGGCAGGAACAGAGAAATTCCACAATCATCAAGAAAGAAGAGCCACCAACAAAGGATGTGTCTGATTCCTGTCTGAAGTGGCAGAGGCACCTAAGGCCACAGTGCTGACACAAAGAGGCAGAGCAGCATTGAGACCAGGAGGGAGAGTGGCAGGCTTCCCAGTCGACAGAACTAGGTAGAGTCCAATGGACAGATGTGGCTGAGAGGCTAAGGGACAAAGAGAGACATGGCTGTTGGATGTTGACCAATTGCTCTTGCTCTATTTTTATTTTTATTCCAAACAAAACATATTTAAACATGTCTTTGTGATCAGTGGATACCAGATCAGTCCTCTCAGTAATACACTTGTCTTCACCTTGCTAGGGTGCCTTCATAATAAAGGATATTTTTTTTAATAAAGTTTACTTTTTATGCCATGGAAATAAATTACTGGAGAATAGGGCTAACAATTTTTTTTTTTAATAAAACCTAAGCAGATATATTCCCAGGTCATTAAAACTTCTGCAACAAGTTTTTGAGAATGCTACCCCACATAAAATAACAGTGTTTAGCTGAATCTAGCAATTGAAGGAATGTTTAGAATACCTCAACTATGATTTCAAGACAGAAATAAGTGCAGAAGGTTAGAGGGACTGTTTTTGGTGAAACAAAAGAAGTTGTCTCAATAATTTTTCTCAAAGGATACAGGACAATCACAGAGACTTGTTAGGAGGAAGTTTTAAGAAAATGGAGTGCTGGACTGAAAAAATGGCCAGGAGAGTTGCACTGAGGAAAATTTTCCATCACAAAAACACATCTACTCATTCTTCTAATGCAGTGGCTCTCAACCTTCCTAATGCCGCTACCCTCATGTTGGGGTGACCTCCCAACCATAAAATTATTTTCATTGCTACTTCATAACTGTAATTTTGCTACTGTTATGAATCAAGCGACCCCTGCGAAAGGGTCTACCCCTAAAAGGGCCATGACCCATAGGTTGTTCTAAGATAACAAAGGACTATCCTGTAAGAATTTTGTTGGGGAGCCCAACTCTATGCACCTTTCAGTCCTGATTGTGTACTTTCCAACTTCTTTTTGTTTTCAAAATACAGAGAACATACCAAAGGAATACAATTTGAGTCCCCTGAGATGCCAAAGCTACTGACTTGGCAGAGTGTAAACTGGGAAAAGTTAGCAGGATGGAAATACCACCTTCAGAAGCTTATAGACTTAAGTGGAGGATGCAGCAAGAAATAATAGGTTCACATTGATAGTCTTTGTTTAAATAAAGGTTTCTATAGTTTTGAGGGCTAAGGTGCACTTGACTCAAGACATGGTATTTTCAAATGGCCTCATAGCATGTGGAAGTTGGACATTGAATAATGAAGACCAATGAAGAATGATTGGGTTTGAATTGTGCTGGTGAAGAATACTGAATGCCATGAACTGCCAAAAGAACAAACAAATCTGTCTTGGAAGGAGTATGGCCAGAGTGCTCCTTAGAGGCAAGGATGGCAATATTTTGTACATACTTTGGACATGCCTGGAAACACCAGTTCCTGGAGAAAGACAACATGCTTGATAAAGGAGAGAGGGAACGAGAAAGTGGAAGGCTTTCAATGAGACGGACTGATACAGTGACTGCATAGGGACGCTTGTGACGATGTGCATGACCCAGCAGTGTTTCGATCTGTTGTGCACCGTGTTGCTATGGGCTGTAATTGACTCGATGGCATCGAATAGCAGCAACATGATTTTGAGATGATAGTGTTAGACTGACTTTTTATTCTTAATCTCAAAATCTTTTTTTTTTGAATCAGAAAATGAGACTACTTTTCTTCTTCAAACCATTTAAAAGATACTTTTAATGTGAATTGGAAGCAGCTTTAAGATGAGATAAAAATCATGCTTTTAACGGGAATTTAAATATGTGATTTAATGAACTAAATGGAAACTGTAGCAATGATGATTTAAAAAATTATGTTGTAAGCTATGGGTTTGAGTCATTCAAATGGCATCTCTAAATTTAAAAGGGCTAAATTATAGAAGAATGGGGAGTTCTAGCAATATCAGAAACCAATTATAGTTCAATGCAAAAAATTCCAAATATGAAAAAAAAAGTTTTCTTTCTTAAAAGAGAAAAAAAATAAGAATGCATTATATGTTGCATTTATATTTGGTTTGCTTTGGAAGGGCTCAAAACACTTTCGTGTGCTCTTTTAACTTTCACTTTTCTTTTAAACATGGATACTCCATCAACATTTTAAATGGAACATATGCTAAATTAATAGCTCATGTTAACTTCCAACTTCTAAAGATAACTTACAAAACAATTTCATCTACTTGGAGATCATTTACAGTAAATATCCTGAAACAATTTAAATAGAAGGAGAGAATCATTAAAAAAGACAAAATGGATGCATAAGCAAATGTGGTGAAAAAGGCTGATGGTGCCCAGCTATCAAAAGTTATAGCATCTGGGGTCTTAAAGGTTTGAAGATAAACAAGCGGCCATCTAGCTGAGAAGCAACAATGCCCACATGGACAAAGCACACCAGCCTATGTGATCATGAGGTATCAATGGGATCAGGTATCAGGCATCAAAGACCCAAAACAAGAAATCATATCAATGTGAATAAGAGGGAGTCTGAAGTGGAGACCTAAAGCCCATCTGTAGACAATTGGAAATCCCGTTACAGGAGGGTCACAAGGAAGAGACAAGCCAGTCAGCGTGCAGTAGAGCACCAACGAAACATACAACTTTCCTCTAGTTCTTTAATGCTTGCCCCCGACTATCCTGACCCCAAGTCTACCTTACAAATCCAGCTAGACCAGAGCATGTACATGGGTACAAATAAGAGCTGGAAACACAGGGAATCCAGGATAGATAAACCCCTCAGGACCAATATTGTGAGTGGTGATACCGGGCGGGTAGGGGTGGAGTGGGGGACAAAGAGGGAACTGACCACAATGATCTACATATAACCCCCTCCCAGGGGGACAGACAACAAAAAAGTGGGTGACAGGAGACATTGGTCAGCATAAGACATGAAAACATAATAATAATTTATAAATTATCAAGGATTCATGAGGGAGGGAAGGTGGAGGAGGGAGGGGGAAAATGAGGAGCTGATATCAAGGGCTCAAGCAGAAAAAAAGGTTTTGAAAATGATGGAAACAAATGTAAAAATGTGCTTGACACATGGATGGGTGGATGAATGGATTGTGATAAGAGCTGTACAAGCCCCCCAATAATATGATTTATTTTAAAATCTCAAAATTATCAATGTTTACTATTTACAAGACAAATAGTTAGAAAACACTTTGTGATGCACTATACAATAACCAACGGAAAATGCTGGATTAAACATTTAAGAAAGAAATTTCTAATTGGTAAATCTAGAAATATACAATATTTGTAAAATTGTCAAGTACACTATGTTCACATGATCTTACTTATAAATCAAAGTTGTATGAATATGGCATTTGGGTTTGCCACATGATGAAATGCCACCCAATTTTTTTTTTAGGAAGTTCAATTTATTTGGTGGCCACAGGTGAGACAGGGCACAGGGCTACCCTGGTCATCATGAATGCAGACCCCGCCACTTGTCCAAGGAGCCACGGCTGGGGATTTATTTGACTCCACAGCCATCTGGGACGAGGTGCTTCTCAGCCACCTTGTCCTCAGACTCATCCGAATTAAACTTGATGAAGCCCCAATTCTTGAAGGTGTGGATCTTCGGGCATCCAGGGAACTTGAACTCGGCCCTGCTTAAGGCCTCCCTCACATACTCCTTGTTGTAAAGCTTGGTGTGGATCGACATGATAACCTGGCCAATGTGGACTCCATCCACTGTACCTTGGGGTTTCACAAAAGCACCTCGCATCGCATCCCATTTTGGAGGGTAGGTGAGGGGGCAGCAGAAATTAGCCAGACCAGAGCCATCGAGAAGCAGCAAAGGGTTGTCTCCCAGGTCTCTTAGGGTAGCCTATACATGCCAACAGGCTGCCTTCACTACCGAGGAGGCTTTCTCTTTGCAGCCACTGCACACAGGCCCAGACAAGGAGGAGGGTGGCCAGCTTAATTGGCTGCAGGAAATGCCACCCACTTTAGTGGTTTAAGAGAATAACCATTTAGGTGACCATGATTCTGCAACCTGGGCCCAGCTGGGTGGCTTTTCTGCGGATCTTGCCAGTGCATACATGTGGCTACTTTCTTTCTAACTACCACCACCTTATTTTAAGAGAAGAGATGAGCACAAAGTAATTGAAAAATCAACTTCCTCTGGAGCACTACTCTGTGAGGAAGGATGACAAGCACATTATCTCTGGGTACTTAAAAAAAAAGTTGATCCCTTCATTGCACACTTTACATCTGAGGAACCAGATGCTTCAAGGCTTAAATAGTTAATAGATTGATGGAGGAAGCTTTAAACTATACTTTAGAACTGTGTGTTTGTATGTTTTAATTCCACATTTTATCACGTCGTGTGCACTGGGTTGCCAGTGGCCCTCACTTGCATGTGAGACTGAGTCCCGTCTTCAGCACACTGTAAGGCTGGTTCATCGTCAGCAAGCGTTCAAAGATGCATTGAAGAGCATCTGACCTCCATACAGCATACTGGTGTTGAAAACCTGTGATGACTTCTATATTATGACTCAAGTCGGCATGGAAAAACACCAAGCTTGTCTCAAACAGCCCACAGTTCCCTGGGGGCCAAGTTTGAAATGTCTTTTCCAGTCTGTGCCTCCCATGAGGCTACTGAAGGGAATCTCTGCTGACCAGCCTGTTCCTCTCCTTAGGGTGGGATGCTTCCGCGTGCATTCAGCCAGAGGAAGATGCAGGCCAACAGTGGAGGCAGCCACAGAACAGACGGCCCCTCTAGGCAGCTGATTGTGTGAGCCAAAACCAGAAATCCCAGGAGGGAGGAGGGAGCAAGGAAAAGAATAGAGGGGGCTGGTGAGGCCTAAGCTGATAAGGATCTGGTGTTCTCCCTCCTTTTCCTTGTTCCTCGGGGTTGGCCACTGGGTCTCACCCACCCTGGGCCTTTAAACTGTCAGGGAGCCAATGCCCAGCGCTGGGCCCAGCCCTTGTCAATGACATGTGAGCTGTGTATGTTCCAAGCTTGCCTTCCTGCCTTTCTGCAAGAAAAACAAACTTGAACTGGACCCCAACAAACATGACAGGAAAAATAACAACCCTTGTCCAGGGCTGATACTGCAAATGGCTGGTCACCACCCCCGCAAGCCTACCCCTGTCATGGACAGGAGCAGGTCCCTTCTTGGGCTCTAAGAGAGAGATCATCGACAGAATATGCCAGAAATCTTAAGTTTGTGGGCGGCCACGGTCAGTCCTTCTGGTGGGTATGAAGGCTCCTGCAAGAGGCCTTTCTGAAAAATAATAAAAATAATTGCTTAAAGGCTATCAGAATCAATATTTAATTGGATAATAAATCTGTATTCAATTTTCATGGAGGGAAAGAACATACTGAATTATTCTATCTTCCCCAGTATGTACACATTCTTTGAGTGCTCAGCTAACGTGATGAGTAGAAACTAATAATAATAATACACTCAACCTGTTAACTGTCATCAGACCTGAACTTTAAAGTGAAGTCTCGGACAAGTGCATTAGGAACCCTAGAGATCCATCTTTCTGAATGTTCTCGAGCATTCCCAAGAGGTATGATTCATCATTTAAGGACACAATGAGCCAGTAATGCTGAGGATTTTCCTTAAGAGAGAAGAAGCTGGAAGAAACTCTTACATTTGCCTGTCAGAAATAGTTAGGCACTGGGCTACTAACTGAAAGGTTGCCAGTTAGAATCCACCTAGTCATTTTCATGAGAAAAAGACCTGGCTATTTGTTCTCCTAAAGATAAGGCCACTGCAGTCAAAGTAACTCTTCCTGTTGTGATCCTATAAGACAGACTGAGAAATGCCCCATAGGATGTTAAGCCTGCGATCCTTGTGGAAGCAGACTGACCTCTTCTCTCTCATAATGCCTGGGGGTCCAAGCCTCAGACTTCTCTGCTAGCAGCCAAATGCTTCACCCTTAAGCCACCAGGGCTCCTTCCATAAGGATTACCACCTAGAAACCCCGAGGGGGCAGTTCTCCTTTGCCATGGGGTGGCCATGAATGAAAAATAGACTCAAGGATACCTAGATAGAACACCCATAATTTCTTCATAAAGAAACAATTTGTTCTTTCACATCTTGAAAATGATTGTAGACATAAACTCGTTTGTTCTCCCCCAACTCTTTTCAGTAGACCATTATAACTTAAATGCCAAAATATAGCAGAGATGTTTTTAAAAGGGGGAAATTATGGAGCTATGTCACCAAGACATGTTTTAACCAAAGGTTAGCACACTTATTCCAGATAAAATGATAAATCGCATTTTAGCTAAATAGCTTCCAAAGTGCAGAGATTTAATATTTTCAAAGGCCATCAATTTAATCACTAAAGTAATCAATTAATTACAGTATTAACAGCAGAAAGGAAAAAAAACTTTATGAACATCTCAAAAGATGCATAAAAATGATTTGGTAAAATTCAGCATTTATTCTTGATACAAACTCATAGAAAGCTAAAAATAGAAAAGAACATTCTTTACCTCTCCAATGATATCCACAAAAATTCAGCAAGAAACAGCGTACACAATGGTGAAATGTTGAAATTTTACTCTGGAATTGGAATGAAACAAGGATATCTGCTAGCCTTACTTCTATTCAGCACTGCACAAATGGTCCAGACTAGGTAGCAGTAAGACACTAAATAAATAAATTGTATACACATTGCAATGTAAAAAAATGCAAGTCTCATTTTTCATCAATAATTATTTTTTCTATGAAAAACCCACAGCAACTACATATATATTATTAAACTAAACAAAATTTTAAAAAAACATAAAACTGACTGCCATCGATTTGATGCTGACTCACAGTGACCGTATAAGACAGGGTGGAACTTTGCCTTCTGAGACTGTACGTTTTTATGGAGTAGAAAGCCCAGTCTTTCTCCCTCAAAGGGACAGGTGGTTTCTAACTGCAGACCTTATGGTTGGCAGCCCAACGTAATCACTATGCCACCAGGGGTTCTATATGCATTGTTACAAATATTAAATTCAACCAATGCTTGAAAAGATATGGAAGAAATAACTGGATATCAGGGATGGCTTTCCAAAATATCTGTTGAGTATTTTGGAAAAGGGAAATGGGTAAGGCTATCAATTAAGTGCTTGCATAATATGATGCTTGTTGAAATTACCATAGGTGATGATATATTGATTTTACTATGCTATTCTGTTTTTGTATATTTTTGAAGTTTTGATAATAAAAGAGATTTTTTAGAATAACTATACATTGCTGCTGGACATATGGTCAATATATTCAATTCAACAAACAAGATCAATTGAATTCCTGCAAATGAGTAAAAAAGACTTAAAAAATAGTATACCATTTACAATAGTATCAAAACTTCAAATAGGTATAAATCTAATAAAATCACATAATTCTACACCAAAAAATTATTCAGAGAAATTGAACACATAAATAAATGATGGGCATATATTCTGTCGCTAAGAAAACTCAATACTGTCAAAGTGTCAGTCCTCCCCCACCAATCATCTACAGATTAAATGCAATGTAGAGCAAAATCCCAATAGTGTGTGTTTGTACAACTTTCTGAGCTGACTTCTCTCCCTTGCATTTAACCAGCCCAGCAGATCCCCTTGAAAGCTTGTTTGGATTAGAACTTTTTGAAGGTACCATAAGGAGACTAAGACACGTGCATTACTAAGAGAACCTACCTGCGGTCATTCGCTGATCAGAGATACATATTTAAACATTTTCCATTGGAATAAACCCATGTGCCGTATGTATGAAATCCTAATAACAATGCTTTTTAAATTACTTTTGCACTGCCTTATTTAATGTGCATGACATTAAAAATACATACATAGAAGTCAAAGAGTGTTAGTTGTTACCAGAGATAGCAAAAGAGAAAGGAGGAGTGGTAGCTAGGGTATACAAGTTTATGATAATGCTTTCGGAAATGGAGAGCAAAAATTGTACTCGAGGAATGCAGTCAATTGTTTGAATTGTGCATATAGGAATTGCTGAGATGGTTCATTTTGTTACACATAATTTCCATCACAATTTTTAAGAAGAATTATTTGGTGTCCAGAAAGCCTTGTGAATTTTTTTAAAAATTATTTTATTGGGAGATCTCACGTATAACAATCCATGATTCAATTAGATCAAGCACAATTGTACTATTGCTACCACCATCAGTTTCAAAACATTTTCTGCCTTCTTGAACTCTTTAGTGTCAGCTCCCCTTTATCCCCTCCCAACCCCACCCTACAACGCCCCCTCCCCCGAAACATTGTTATTATATTATTTACATATATTATAATATACATCTTGCCATCTTTATACCAACCAATGTGTCCATTCACCTACAATTCTGTTATTCTTTCCCCCTTGAATGGGATTTGAGGTAGTTAGTTTATTGTGCCAACCTGGCCGATAAACACATGTGGGATTAATTAAAAGGTGGAGGGATAAATGGCTCACTGAGCCCCGACTTTCTAATTCTCAGATCTCTTGCTTTCTGATGGTCGGAACAAACTACCTTAGCCAGTTCCCTGCTTCAGCAGGCAAGGCTCACTTCCTGCAAGACATCCCAAGGAGAAGCCACATAGACCTACCTTGATGCAGCCCTGGGTGCTGGAGCAGCCGTGTGGAGACCCCTGCC